ACGCTCCGCTCATTTCCCCACTCCCTCATCACAACGTGGAATCAGCTCCCACCTACCCTTCTGCAGTCGCCCCCTTCTCGCAGAGGTATGCACACCTTCAAGAAAAATGTCAACGACCACTTGCGGCGCAGCAAGTGGGAGTGGGCCACAGACAGGCTATGATCTCTCCATCGCAGCCAACACACCAGCCTAATCATACTGACCGCTGCACTCCAGCTCCCTTCTACCCCTCTTTAATCCCCTTTGCTCAGCCTTATTATCTGATTATCAGTTCCCTCCATCTTCCTACGGTGCACTGCTTTTACTATTGTTTTGTCCTATCTCAATCTCAAATTCTCCCCATTATCGTTTGCAAAGTCGGTGCTTCCCTCTTGGATGCACATGTTTCTTTTCTCCTATGTATCGGCGCACAGGAGTAACAATAAGCTGTCCTTTGACCAACACATTAACAATGTCGTCCGGAAAGCCTCACGGAAGATCGGTGTACTGCGTCGATCTTTCCGCCAGATGAACCTGTTTGCCCGCCGTACTTTCGTTGTCGGTGTTATTCAGCCTGATCTAGAATATGCTCTCCCTGTACACCTTTCGTTTATATCCACTAAAAGTAGAAACAAGCTAGCCTCACTCCACCGGCGCGCTGCACGAGTTGCTTGTGGCGCATCACCCCAAGCTAATATCACGCCACTTCTTCACCACCTCAATGTTTCCTCTTTCCAATATTGATCAGTATTTTTGTTCCTTGTATTCATTTTCCACTGTTACTGTATTAAGCCGGCTGTTTGCTTGTAGTCGCTCTTTCCCATATGTACGTCTACCCGAACTACTCGCGGCTCAACAACTCATAACATGAGTATCAATCGCTATAGTCTATGTCTGGCTTTCTGTCCTTTTCAAGTAAATCGGCTCTTGTTCGGAATTATTTACCAGACGACCTGAAGTCCTGCACTACTATCTCAGATTTCCGCGTCAAATTGGCTATTTGGCTAAAAGACAGCTTAACTCTTAATCATTGTTGTGATTTACTTTCAAGCAATGTGCATAATCAGTAAATTGATGTTGCTGTTTTTGTTTTTTTGTTTTTTTTTGGTTTCCCGTTCTCGGGGCCTTCTATTCAGTACTCTTTGTAGTTGTACTTCTGTACTGTTGAGCTATCCGAATTCAAATAAACATTTAAAAAAAGTAACGATGATTCCGAGACCTTTGGTCGGAGGAGTTACTTTTGCCCCGCCCCCACTTCCATCCAATATGCCACCGCCCCCGCTGTGCAGCATCTGATGGTACTGTGGTATTCAGTAAAAAAAAAAAAACATAATTATATTGTAAATGTTCACTTAATTATGTACATCATCGTATGCCTCCGAGGGCCATGGTATATGTACGTGCGAGGCCGCGTGGCCCAACGGATAAGGCGCCTGACTACGAATCAGGAGATTCCAGGTTCGAATCCTGGCGTGGTCGCATCTTTTTTTTTCTTCCATAGGGTGGTGAGGTGGTCAGTTTTTCCCTGCTTGGCACATGACTGCACTTAGACCAAAGGAACACAATTGAATTCTGCCAGTGAGCGCCTAGCAGATGGCTGTAGTGTTTGGAACTTCCCAATGAGCTCATGCCAGTCTTATCTCTATGATCTCAGGCTCTCAAATTCTCTTGCTCCCCCCAGTTCCAAATCAAAGCGCTAAAACAGAAACAAGCGATGAAGGCGAGTTTGGTACGAAAATGAACAGAATTCCTCTAGAATATTGAGTGTGTGCGTGCGTGTGCGTGCATGTGTGTGTGGTGTGCGGTACGAACTACCCCCCCCCCCCCCCCCCCCGTGAGCTTCACCACATGCGCAAGGTCGAGACACAAAATACCATATCCGCCCTGAGAACGGACGCGTGGGGAGTGATTAGAGACAGAGAGCAAATCACAATCAAATCGTCACGTTTGACGTTCCGAAGCCTGGAAACTGCACAACAATCACACAGTAATAACACAATTCATAACTCTTCTGCCTAGCTTCTACACGCTCCAAGCACAAAATAAACCCATAAAATTACAATTGTGGTGAAGTTATTACACCGCAAAACAGCAACTACTCGTTCTCCTGTCTGTGTTTCCGCCCTTTGCCTTTGGCAAATCGAGCCCTCTACGGACGGGGGGTGAACCGCACAAGGTGAATTTATTATAACGTTTAGTACAGAGAACGGATACAAGACTCGTCTTACTCTGTCCGCTGCTGCACGGAAGAAGAACCAGCAGAATGGCTACAGTCGACAACACGGTGGTGACAGGAGAAGCCATGGTCGCCGCTCCTTCGTTCCCGTTTCTGCTGGATAAACGCCAGCAATCCACTCCGCTTGCGGACTCGGCGCACGGCTCGCACCGGTTCTTCGGAGTGCGTCGTGGCGGAACACTTTGAAACCAATGGTTGTGCTCGGTATTGTACAGGGCCGCTAACTAACAAACATTCAAAATAATGACTTCGATGAGCGCAAATGTTTCTTCCGCACTCAGAGCCTTCCAGCCAGCGCACCAGCTGAGCTAAACTAAAATCGTAAAGACGGACTATTACTTGGTCGCTTGCAGGCTAGGGTCCGAATCCAACAGGCCACACGACAAGCTAGAACTAACGTGTCACACCGTTTGTTTAGGGGTGGGCGGAGCGGGGTGTACTTGCCCGTGGAGTCTACGTCTACCCTCCCCAGGCTACGTGCCTGGGTTATACATGACATTCTCAGAGTATTTGTGAACTTCGGGCAAAGACAATTGGAACAAGGAAATTGTGGGCACAAGTTATGCGATCGAGTCCACCAACTAAACCAGATTTTGAACAGTCAGATGTGCACAATCTAGCACAAAACTGACAAGGAGTACTGAGACATTCCACAGCATGAAAGTCAGCTTGAGCACTGCTCGATAGCGCTAACCAACGGCCTTCCAACTTGGAGGGTTCATGGATATTAGTGCTTATTCCAAAGAGGGGAAGGCCAGCGCCATCGAGCCGAGCACAAGCTACATTCCAAGGCTTCATGGGATGCTGGCCTGGTATCATGACGGGACGGCAAGACCAGACAGAACGGTCTTAGAGAAAAGTGGGCCCAGCTATTAGCGACTTTAATACAGGTTACATGACGTCATTATATAACCCTTGTAATTGTTTCGATTTTCTTCTGATAATAGCTATGAAAAGTATGAATGCCGCAGACATCACCACGCAACATGACAATTTGTTCAAGGTTTGGTTTTGTGTGTTTCCAAAATCGATTTTCACGCTCCGATCATCAGTGGAAATACGGAACTAAAGAGATCAAGGGAAAAACAAACGTTAAGAATCCAAAGAAGTGTGACCCATGACGGGTAACTTGTGGCAAGTATTACAAAAAGTGAGAACTAAAATAAAGAGTAAGTGTGACAAACGGGCATGAACAGTGCAGAAACAACTCATGAACACGGGGTGCAAACTCACGAAAATAACCTAAGTGCTAAAACATGTTCTTTTTGCTTACACAAATCGGGCTTATGCGTACGAATACAAACAGCTTCAAGGACCTTCAACTGCTGGACATAACGGGCACGACACAGTACAGAGAAGTGGGAATCATCATACACACTCAAACAATCGCGTCTCTTTAGTTCCGTATTTCCACTGATGATCGGAGCGTGAAAATCGATTTTGGAAACACACAAAACCAAACCTTGAACAAATTGTCATGTTGCGTGGTGATGTCTGCGGCATTCATACTTTTCATAGCTATTATTAAACTTTTATCTCCACGTAGATTATTTGTATATTTTCTTCTGAACTCACACATCGTGTTTGTACAAGTGAAGTATGGAATCAAGCAAGAGTACGAGTGTGAGATCGCCTAATCACAGCCCGCCGCGTGAAGCGCGAAGGGCTGTGATGATGTAGGCTGATCGAACACGACTACGAGTGTTTTGATTGCATTTCTGACATGCACCGGTGCACCCACGCTTGAAACTCATATCGGACTTGTAAATACTTCGCGGAAGGCTGTGATTGGCTGATAGAACATGAACACGACTGTTTTGATTGGATTTCTGACATAAACACGCACTTCGAGCTTCCTATCGCGCTTGAAAGCACGACTCTCAACCTTCTCGAGCACTAGTCGAGTAAAAAAAAAGCGAGCTTGATATCAAAGCCCTAGTGGAGCGGGCTTTGATCGTAAAATCAAAGCCCGCCTGGGCGGGCTTTGATGGGAAAATCAAAGCCCGCTCCACCCACTAAATATGGAGTTCTACTTCCTGTTTCCACCGAAAACAGCTGCGGGCCCTAATCGGCATTGTGTTCCCGAATCGGATTAGGAACGAGAGGCTCTATGAGCGTACCGGCGCGGTTCCTCTCGGCATTATCATCTTGAGAGCTAGGTGGAGGCTCTTTGGGCACGTCTTCCGGCTCCCGGCTGACTCCCCACCATCACTGGCCATGGGAGCGTACTTCGCAGAGCCTCGTCCAGCGGGCTGGAGGGGACGACCAAGACACACACTACCAACGCTACTACAAGATGATGCCAAGCGGATTGGACTTTCCTTGTCAAGCAAAGTCGATCTGGAGGCGTTCCGTGCCCTTGCTGCTGACCGAAGCGGTTGGGTGGGCATCTGTGCCCGAGTGGTGTCGGCACCCTAGTTTTTGTCTTCTTTTCGCATATTTCTTCTTTTTCTGAAACTGTTATGGTCTTTTGTATCTATTCGAAGTGGCTTATGCGAACATTTTTGGCTGGTTTGCATGATTTGCATGCCCATTAATGCAGCTGCAGGCCATGCTGATGTCTACGCGAACAAGCACATAATAATAATATAACTTCCTGTAGCATGCTTTGAATTGATCGCCTCATCTAGGCTCTGCTAGGTAGGTGCAATGCGATTGGTCATCTCCGTGCCTACAGTCTTGTGACATGTCAGAATGTACAAGATAGGAAATAAAGAGATCCTAGAAAAGAAAGTGAGAGAAATTGAGCGAGAGGGAGAAAGTGAAAGAGAGTGAGCGAAAGTGTGGGGAGAGTGAGAGAGAGAAAAGGGAGAGAAAGTGAGGGAGACAGAGAGAGCAGTGAGAGCAAAGGAGAGACAGAAGTGGGAGCGAGCAAGAGAGAGAGAGAGAGAGAAAGAGATTTTTGGGCATTCCTCTTTCTCCCTAGCATTTCATTACATCTTTTGCTATGATCACTGTGGTTGATGTATAGGTGAGAGAAATGATCACCGTTCCCAGGCTAAAACAAGAAAATGCATAATGGGAGGATGGTAATGGTGAATCTTGTTCCAACATTGCTGAGCTGATTTGACTGTTTACTTGGGGACTGAAAAGATATCAGGGTGAAAGAAACTTGTGCAGTGGAATACTGATCTTTTAGGCAAGAGATTTACATTGTAGCTGACAGCTGGTTGGTTTATTTTAATTCTCACAATAAACGGGAACTAGGAACTAGGCCCAATGATATAAAGACGAATGGATAAGACGCATTTAGAAAAGAGAGGAAAGGAATTAGAAATTACGAAAGAAGAAGTATCTGACAGAGGAGTCAAGCGAGTATCAGGGGTGACAGGGTGGTCGAGGAGAGCTAGGGGGAGGGCTTGTCTGAGCAACAATATGGTAGGCAACGTATGCTAAACTTTTCCTGTCTTGCTATGGTCCGAATGTCATCCGGCAGCAGGTTCCAGAGTGCAGATCCTGCGACGGACGGCCGAGAAGCGCCAGAGCGAGTGGAGGATGGCTAACTGAGCAGATCACTGGACCTCTGATGAGGGGTTTTCCTGCCAGCAGATCTGACGAACAGTACAGACCGCGTGGCATTAGCTTTCCCGTGAAGGCACCTCCAGACAAACACTAGTAGCTTGCGCTTGCCAAGTTCGCCTATCTGATACAGGCCGTGCTGCACCAGTAGGGTATGCACGGTTGTGTAGGGTAGGTGGCACACAGTTAGTGTCAAGTTGTGAATTTGAGCTGCGGATCATCATCATCATCACAAGCCCCATAGCCTTAAGACCGTCGGGGCGTCACAGAGCAAGTATGATTAAGCGATCGCCATGAAAATCGATCGCGTGCAGCAGCGAGCAGGGACGCGGCGGATGCTATGCCAACATTCCTATACAGTCGTCCCTCTCTAATCCGGCACTTGTTTATCCGGCACTTGTTTATCCGGCACTTGTTTATCCAGCACCCTTGCAAACCAGCACACTTTCTGGCGAAACCGATTTTTTCAGTTCATTTTCTACGCTTTAATCCGGCACTTGAATTCCGCCTCCAGCAGCGATTTTCTGCAACAAATCACTCAAACTGTACATAATTTGATTTTCTAATCCAGCAGTTGTACATCGCATACCGTCAGGGAACACTGTAACATACACAACACATGTAACATACACTTGGGAATATCTTATGCCAGTGCAGAGGATATTCCCAAGTGTATGTTAAAGACATGCATTCCACAAAGTACTTGGAATGACACAGAAAATCCCTACGTTTTGACGTACAACGCCAACATGTATGTTAACAGGTGGGCCGGGTTGGAGGGCAGGATTTGATAATCCAGCACCCTTGTTAATCCAGCAGAAAATGCCGTTGCAAAAGGTGCCGGATTAGAGAGGGACGACTGTAATTCCACTTTCCTGTCCAGGTGGAAATAGGGTCGGAACTAGCACCCCTAGTAACTTAATGGAAGAAGGACAGTGCTGTTAGCTGAGGGGCAGAGATGACATCCTAGCTCCAGAGATGGGAAAGAAATTATTTGTTGACATTGAGGAATTGAATGATATTCCAAAGTCGTGGGGAATAAAAGCTTCCAACTACATTTCTTGCGTTTGGCAATTGTTGTGGGGGTTATGAGCAGGGGCTTTTGCACATATGGGTGATGTTGTCCCCATGGAAACCCTTCAATAGCATGCTCCGTGGCAGAAGAGTAAACACACGGTACGGGTGTCTGCTCATCGAATGTTTAATCCTATACATGGTCTTCTTTTCATGGTTATGAGTGCGAAGTCAGTCAAACTGAGTAATTGACAGTTTCTCACAGGTGGCTGGTGATTATGACTCTTGAATCCAGCAACCACTGGGGAAAACTTGACCATTCCATTTGCAGACAATTCTTTCATAGGAAGAAAGCCACTAAGCGCATTTAGAATAACAAGAAGAATATACAATGTAGAGGTTTTAGTTGTGGGGCAAGATAGAGGAATGGGTGGGAAGTGCAGTGCCCCTATAACCGTAAAACGCTCAACTCTGGACAGCTTTTGCACCAAATCAGTGGTGGCAGGCTAGTGCTGAAGTTACAAGTCGTCATTGCTCCGGAGTAGGGTCCTGCGGATCATAATGCTCCGAAAATGTTCGTATAATGCTAATCATAATGCTCCAAAAACTACCTGATAATGCTGATTATAATGCTCCAACAAGGGCTATAATGCTCTTGGTTTGGAACAAAAATGGAAGAAAGGCTGCACATTGTCAAACTTCCAGGAAAGGATGCATATAGTCAATCTGCCTCTGAAGCTGCTGCAATATCTCTCACGAGCTCCACCATTTCTTAGCACTATAAGACATGATCGCGTCTCCATTGGCTGCTCTCCATTGCAACTTTGATGCAGGGCTGTGGCTGAACAGTGGGTGTATCAAATCATTTCCCTTGCTTATCCATGAAGTGGGATGTGAGACCATTATTGCTGGTGATCAATTGGATGCTGGAAGCTTATCATGGGAAGTGATATTCCTGCCTGCAGACAAGCTGTCACTGCTTCCACTCTGTGAAAAATGTCTTCATCTGAAACAGCTTACGTGAGGCAAGTTCCTGAGAGACGATCTCAGATCGAGATCCCTCCTATTTGCGGAAATCCTGAACACACGTGGTGAGAAGATATTTTGCCGCTCTACACCCTCTGCTTGCGCTGCCTTCTTCTCCTGAGGTTGCGTGGAGACAAATGGTTGGCCACAATACTCCTCTTTTCTGATAGCACTTGATTAGGCCTTGCATTACAATCGTCCACGACGAACTATACGCGCTTCACCAGGAAAGTAAAACATGCGCTGCTGAGCACTCAAATCGACTTGGTGCTGCGTCCATGAGAAATTCTAGTTCTTTTCGAGCCTGCTGAGCTGGACTCGGCAAAGGCAGCTATTAATTTAGGAGTAAGCTCTATCCGTTTATAGCCGCTCCTTCATGCAGGTCCAAATTTTTATCAATGGATTAGTGTTTACTTTAGTATCGCTAGACATGCTATGGCCAGAGCCTATGGCATAACACTTTTTATTAACAGGAAACTCCTCTTCCTCTGTTTCAGTTTGATATTCACTTCGCGTAGATCTACGTAGTCTCCTCCATCATCCATGGCTCTCCATGATTTCTAACAAAATTCCTCTTAAATCATCGTTACGGATTTTGTGCACTTCGAAGCATAAACAGCCTCAGTTGCAACGTTGGGCATGCTACATCACATGTACATTTACCTGACATTGCTACAAAAAGACTTTATGTAGCAATGACATTACTGTATGTAGTCAGGTAAATGTAGCGCTAAAGGTGTTACGTGACGGTGTCTACACTCACAAAGTTATGTGCCGGTACAATATAATGGCGTTGCATGCACCTCATGCAGTCATGGCTTAAGCCGATTGTTGCCAAAAACCATGAGATTTCCCGACATTATCCACTATAAAACTCGTTATGCCGCTCAAACCTCACATAATGCTCGTTTTGTTCCTTCCTAATGCTCCATAATGCTCTAATGCTCGGATAGGCTTATAATGCCGGCATTATCCGCTGGACCCTACTCCGGAGAGCTTTCCAGGAAGCCCAAGATTAAGGGAATCCAATAACGAGCACCAAAGTAAGTTGGTTATTGTCGCAGTAATGTAGTTAGTGTGTGTTAGCATCCATCGATCACGCTGCAATGTTTGCAATTGCCACGCACCGCTGCATCAGTGCTTTCGACACTGCACTCACACTGCCAGCGCATAGATTTTGAGCGCGCTTAGCCTGACGTCCCACAACTGCTTCCTTTGAACTTTTGCTCACTGCACTCACACCGCCAGCGCATGGATTAGGACGCACTTAGCCTGACGTTGCACAACTGCTTCCTTTCAACTTTCTCTTTCTTTCTTTCCTGCCTTGGCTTCACTTCAAAGTCTAATTAGTGGTCACTTTTACCTTGTGCCAGCATCAAATTTTCACCCTCCATCCCTCCCATTTTATCCTCTTGCTAATGGTACTAGGGAACATTTAGCTCTATCGCTTCTAGCTGGTCATTTGCTTCGCTAGTTGCGGCTCCTCACGAGCCAGTTGTGGATCTTCACGAGCCAGTTGTTGCCAATTGCATTGGCTTTGCCTTGCAAACCCATTGTGACACAGCGTGGGTTTATAGCGGCTCCTCGCGAGTTAGTTGCTGCCAGTGGCCTGGCATTGCTGTTCAGGAGGTCACACGTGTCACTGACATGCACTCTCGTTTTGTGTTACATGTAGCTGTGACTTTCGTTAAGGTTCACACTTTTAAGTCACAGGCTTTGTCTTCACCTTCTTTCGCGCCTGCTGATGGAGTTGTTGGCATGCAAGTGTTATAAGCTAGACGTTTTCACTGCAGTAGTCAGTTGGCTAGAGTAGGCTGTAGTGCTTATGAGTTCGGAGAAAGGTTTCAAGCAATTTCGGCTTGGAGCCAGAGTTTTCTAACAGAGTTCTCTTCATAGTCGCGAGCTGGTCCTTTGTGTGGTTTGGGTGTGTGCCGAGGCAGGAGCACGCCTCTACAGAACAATTGCTTTCCAGCTCTTTGAGCTTTTGCACTCCAAGACCAGTGACTCGAAGCAGCACACTATAATCCAAACCAATTCCTTGTTGCCTTGGGCTGAGTATGAGTGTGGGAGGGATATTGTGCTAAGCCCAAAATAAGGTAAAGGATATATCGCAATTGCAGTCGCATACAACTATCAGGATTATTTGGGGCTTCAAATGGTTAATTTGGGGACATCCTCTGGCATGAATGCAAAGCTGCAACCCCCCCCCCCCCCCATGACGTCCCTGCTTGGCACATGACTGCACTTAGACCAAAGCAACACAATTCAATTCTGCCAGTGAGCGCCTAGCTTATGGCTGTAGTGTTTGGAACTTCCCAATGAGCTCATGCCAGTCTTATCTCCATGATCTCAGGCTATCAAATTCTCTTGCTCCCCCCAGTTCCAAATCAAAGCGCTAAAAACAGAAACAAGCGATGAAGGCGAGTTTGGTCCGAAAATGAACAGAATTCCTCTAGAATATTGAGTGTGTGTGTGTGTGTGTGTGAGAGAGAGAGAGAGAGAGAGAGTGTGTGTGTGTGTGTATGTGTGTGTGTGTGTGTGTGTGTGTGTGTGTGTGTGTGTGTGTGTGTGTGTGTGTGTGAGTGTGTGTGTGTGTGGTGTGCGGTACGAACTAGCTACGAACTATTCCCCCCCCCCCCCGTGAGCTTCACCACATGCGCAAGGTCGAGACAGCAAGCGTTCACAAAATACCATATCCGCCCTGAGAGCGGACGCGTGGGGAGTGATTAGAGAGAGAGAGAGAGAGAGAGAGACAGGGAGTAAACCACAATCAAAACGTCATGTTCAGTTGAGGTTCCAAAGGCTGGAAACTGCACAACTATGACACAGTAATAAAAAACGACTCTTCTGAACCTAAAATTACAATTGTGGTGAAGTTATTACACCGCAAAAAGACAACTGCTCGTTCTCCTGTCTGTGTATTTCCGCTCTTTGCGTTCGGCAAATTGAGCCCTCTACGGACGGTGGGTGAACCGCACATGGTGAAGTTTTTCTAACGCTTAGTACAGAGAACGGATGCAAGACCCGTCTAAGGCCGCGGTCACACATGAAACCTTTGCACGGCTTTTGCGGAGGCGAAAAGCGTAGCTACGGCAGCCGCTTTCGCGGAACACAGGATACAGCGGTCACACATGCATGTAGACCCAGGAGGGGTTCCGTGGAACCCCCTAATATCGTAAATGTACTACTGGGAGCCATATTGGCTATGGATGTGCATAATACGTGCACTAGTATCAGCTAATGTAGAGATCTGCTGGATCCACCGCTGAGATTTAGCTACTCGGAAGGCAGTCGACAGGTTGGATTCTCTGACAGTGGAAGAAGCATAAGCAACTCGATACATGAAGACCCCATTGAAATCCGACCCCTGGCCCATTTCGGCCAAACAAGCACATGCCGGCGAAATAGTAATTGGGAAGTTTTGTTTGGGGCCGGGCGGAGTGGGGTGCACTTACCCGTAGAGGCCAACGTGTACCCTCCCCGGGCTACGTGCCTGGGTTAGGCCGAGTAAAAAAAATTACTAGATGATCGTCCTTTTTTTTGGAAAAATCGGGGAGGGCGGGAGGATTTTATTTTTATTTTTTTACTTTTTACCCTCTCATGCACACAGTGTACACAACAACATCAAGGTTTTTTTCTCTTTTTTTCTTTTTTTTTCTTTTTCTTTCTTCAGCAGATCGATACTGACGTTGTGATATACTAGTAGTATGTGGTCCATAAAGTAAAACTCACGATTTAAAAAATAAAATATTTCTTGGGGCGCTGACAAAAACTGGGGCGGACGGGGACGATCATCTAGCTTTTTTTTTTACTTGGCCTTATACAGGACATTCTCAGAGCAGTTGTGAACTTCGGGCAAAGACAATTAGAACATGGAAATTGTGGGCACAAGTTATGCGATCGAGTCCACCAACTAAACCAAATTTTGAACAGTCAGACGTGCACAATCTAGCACAAAACTGACAGGGAGTACTGAGACATTCCACGGCATGAACGTCAGCTTGAGCACTGCTCGATAGCGCTAACCAACGGCCTTCCAACTTGGAAGGTTCATGGATATTAGTGCTAATTCCAAAGGGGGGAAGGCTAGCGCCATCGAGCCGAGCACAAGCTACATCCCAAGGCTTCATGGGATGCTGGCCTGGTATGATGACGGGACGGCAAGATCAGACAGAACGGTCTTAAGTGAAACACAACTTGGCCCAGTTATTAGCGACTAGGTTACGTGTATAACTCTTGTTTGGATTTTCTTCTGAACACACACATCGTGTTTGTACAAGTGAATGTACAAGTATGACCTCTTAAAGTCTAACACTGAAGACTGTGTCACGTGGTACAGTGAAACAAGACTCCGTGTTGTCAATTACATTTGTGTGAATGGCTGGTATCAATAATAATGAATCTTCCACGGGGAATTCTTCCTTGCACATGTATTAATATTCTGGCTACAGTCCCAAGGCACCTGCAGAGCATTATCATATTCCCGCAGCAGATATACTGATCTGAGGATAGCCTGAAGTAGCGGTAGCTCCGTCACGTCAAGTAAATGAAATCCAACCCCACACCACACATCCAGTGCATATCCGTCAACATTTGAGACACTCGCCAGATCCAGATGCACACTTCCAATAATTATTGTCCTCGGAGGACAGTCGTCAAAATAGTTCCCGAAACTTCGGGAGTGCTTTTTTTTAAGAGAGGAGTGTACAAAATTAAAGACTTGTTGTGATTACTTCAAGATCATGTCAAACACGCTGCTATGTAAACATGCATAAGCGACCTGGGAGTAGGAAAATCCAGATAGTTGAAGGGTTCGAATTGTTTGGTTCGAGAAGAGATGCCGAGTGTGGACAGCACTAGACTAGGAGAGAGAAAGAGAGAAAGAGAGAGAGAGAGAGAGAGAGAGAGAGAGAGAGAGAGAGAGAGAGAGAGAGAGAGAGAGAGAGAGAGAGAGAGAGAGAGAGAGAGAGAGAGAGAGAGAGAGAGAGAGAGAGAGAGAGGGAGAGAGAGGGAGAGAGAGAGAGAGAGAGAGGGAGAGGGAGAGAGAGAGAGAGAGAGAGAGAGAGACTGACTGGAAGCGAAAATTAGAGAAAGATAGCTATTGAAAGAATAAAAAAAGAATCTACTTCGAAGTAGCAGCTGACGAACTCCACGAGTAGCGATTTAACTATGTCCATTGCATGTAAACAGTAACAAAAATAGCAAGGTAAAATGCTGCAGAGAGGTGGATGCCAGTTAGCACGGCCCACAAATATTACGAATTCTTGAATTTTACATCATTGGCATTAGCTAGTATTCTGCTCGTCATACGATGCCTGGAGAAATGTTGAATATCACCACAGGTGGGTTGTCGTTGACACGTTCGATTTCAATGAATGTTTCTGCTGTCGCTATGACGTTGCTCTCGCAGTCTCGAAGTTCCCAAAGTACCTGAGATGAAAAGCAAAGGTATGCAAACATCACGTGACGTTGTGTGAAGGAACAACACACTGTAAGTCTACAACTTATTTTGGCCCATTGAAATTTCAGCCTGCCGCGGCTAAAACACATTTCGGGCGCATTATATTTTCGATCTGCCCTGCTGCTAGCCTGTATCCACACCCTGTGAGTCTGCCCAGTGTTGACTCCGAGACCCACGGTCGGATGAGCTGCCCAGGCCTCACCACCACTGCTGTTTCTGTGCGGCCTTCTTTATACATATGCATATTATAATTATGCACATTCACATGTCTGAAGGTGTGTGGTCTTCAATAACAAAATTCACTGTCACCTTGCAAAACATAAATTTCGGCCGCAAAAAAATTTGGGCCAAGTATGACCAGGCCGAAAGAAGCCGAAAATAAGAAGGCGCCAAATAAGCGGACGTACAGTAGAGTGCATATCACTGGCCACTGGTGTAACCGATATCCATCCTCAGGAGCATAACGCCCCCTCCTCGGAATATAATACCCAAAATATGATTATAACCCCCCCCCCCTCCCCCCCGATTATAAAGCCTCAGTGGCATTGCTCTCCAGATTAGTATGCCCTAGGTATACTGCTTCCCCGATTATAAGTAGCCCTAATTGGGGGGGGGGGGGAAGGGGTATTGAAGTCGTTGCAAGTCTCAAGCAGTGGAATAGCGTTCCAAAAAAACAAAAAAGAACATAATTGCATACAACCTACATGCATACGTACATGTACATACATGCGTACAGACATGCATTCAGACATGCATCCAGACGAACAGACGCGTCTACTTTACGCCACACTTACCACGCGGTCGGCTATGGATATTTCGTCGCGAGTGTTCGCGTACTCCGTGTTCTGAACAATGGTCAAGATATCCTCGGTCGAGATTGGCATACCATCTGTTGACGTGTACACCAATTGTCTCGGTAAGAATGTCTTCTGTAGAATTAAAAAATTGAAGAGGAAAGAGGAAAACAAAGAAAGCAGCGGGGCACAAGTTATGAGTCAGAGTTCACCAACTAGACCAGACGTTTAACAGTCAGAGGTGTATAATGTGGCATAAACCTCACAAGAAGTACTGGGAAAATCACTGGCCAAAGTATCGTGGTGTATAAGCCGCACTGGAGTACACATCATGTAAGGCTCAACCGGATGTTCGGTCACGAAATACAGACATCCACCCTGTCCATCACCATTCCGTTGACCATCGTAGTATACGCCACAGTCACTTTTTTTCTGGGGGAATCAGGAGTGTTTAAAGTGCGACTGTACACAAATCATCTAAAGTGATGATGCAATCACCCACTCCATACAAAGCACTTCCAGCCATGATGTGATCACATGACCTGTAGTCTGTGCTCAGCATCCAGCAACAACATCCTACTAGCATCCTACTAGCACTGCGCAGTCGTCACAATGGCAGATCAACACAAACTGCTTCGAGCGGCATCCTTGTCGGCAGCGAACCACAGAAAGCCACGACATGACTCACCATAATATTAGGTGACGTCACCGCCTTGGTGGGGAAGATCTTCTCGAATGCCACATCATCCAAGGTACCAGAAGACCTAATATGGGACACGAGAACATGCACCAAAAACGAAGAATAAACCCATGCACAGTACATTATTCTGATGAAGGCAATTTGCCGAAATGTAACTCTATAACACGAGTTGAATTAGTGCAGTGGTAATGGAAGAGAGCGTGTGGGCTCTACTCCTAACTGTGTTATGAAACTGCAGGAAGCCTCCCCACCTTTACTTATTGAAGAAAGGTACTAATATTCGTATTGTTCGTCCTGGAATTTAAGCCGCATCGGATAACAAGGTCCTTGCCCAATTAAGGTTGCTGTCATGATTTTTCCCGTGCATTCACTTACTGTGAAGCACGGAGGGCCGGTGGAACCGGTGCGGTTGGTTAGGCCAGGGCCAGGACAAACTCTCCGGCCCAGCGACGGGTGTTATCTGCTAAGGGGCTCGTGTTCACCTGTCATATCATACACACAGTATGACTACCTATGGATAGCGGGACCAATCAAAAAACCGATTTCCCCGATCATGTTAAGCGTGCGCCTTGATGTGACTGGGGTAAAATGCCTCTACAGACCAGCATGCAAGGACACGCATACGCATGCACAAGATCATAGCGTCATCTACACCTTCAGCTCTACGCGCACGCACACACACACACACACACACACACACACGCACACGGATGCACGAGAAACCGGGCACACAGCTACGTACGCCGTTAGCTCTATGGACGTCTGGCAGGCAGCTGACTCTCCAACCAGAGTGGCTGCATGCTGCAATGAGAGAATGGTGGGAGCAAGCTGGTTCTCGCGGTACATTGTTCGGAACACCGTGCCACTTCCATCCAGGAACAGATCACCTGAAGGGCAAAACCATGAAAAGCAAAAGACTCTGTGTCATCACAGTCCACACAGGCAGTCATACATGCAGATATCCCTAGTACTGAAAAGGTACGCACGTGCATGTACGCATGCATACGCACACGCACATACACACACACATGCACACATGCTCACACACACACACACACACACACACACACACACACACACACACACACACACACACACACACACACACACACACACACACACACACACACACACACACACACACACACACACACACACACACACACACACACACACACACACACACACACACACACACACACACACACACACACACAACTGTCCTGTCCTGCAGAGCCACTACCACTAGGGTCACTTGGCCCCCGGAGGGACAGCAGAGAGAGAGAAGAAGCATGTCACCTGTTGGGGGGGGGGGGGGGAAGGCACGTGCCCCCCCCCCCCCCTCCCTAAACGTTTCGACCTAGGTTCAGCATACACATGACGAGTATGAATGACATGCACCAGCCATCCCCACACATATGTGGCCGTGCACAGCCCTAGAGGGTGGACCAGCTACTCCCCTGAGGGGTGTTGACTTACCCTGGCAGCTCATTCCATCGCCGTTGAATCCAGCAAGACAAGTGCATTCAAAAGATCCGACTGTATCTACGCACGACGCTTGCTCACTGCACGTGTGTGTACCCGTCATACACTGCTCCTCATCTGCACACGAGAAGAACAGCACAATAGCCCATACACAAACACGCATGTGCACATACACACACACACACACACACACACACACACACAAAAAAAACCACGCATACACACACAGGTATACACACATACACACGCGCGCGGTTGAGAATGGCAAGTTAAAACTTAATACAACAACGATGCACAAATGTACACATATAATGGAGGCAGGGCATCGGACACGTTACGGTCACTACGGTATTAACCATACCACTATTTGTCCCGGGTACCCGGTGAATCAATCAAAAGCACTGATTTGGGCTCTACATTTAGAACATTTCCAGAGGAGGTACAACAACCCCATGAGTAAATTGTACTTCAGGTGGCGGACCGCACCACCCAGAAAAGCCTTCCGACGCCCTTGAACGGAGGGGAGGAGGGGTGAGCACTAAATGTACATACCCAATACTGGCTTCGATGTGTTGAGAGCACGTAACGTGCTGTACTGAAAAAAAGCAGGCTAGGAAATCATAAACAAAGAAGGAGAGATAGGCTATAGACTGACCTGCACATTGTCCAGGCAGTCCAGTGCCTGTGAAGCCAGCAACACAGCCCTGGCATTGGAATGATCCCACCACGTTCACACAGATACCATTCACATCACACTGACTACCCGCACCCACCTGGCATTCGTCAACATCTGTACAAGAAAATAAGTGGAGATAAGCGGGTACGTACGCAAGCACACGAACAAGCATGCACGTACACACACGCACACACACGCACACGCACCCACATACACGCACACACGCACACACACACACACACACACACACACACACGAGTGTATAAAGCAACAGAGGCTAACACACAGCCACCTCACTTCCCATACACGGCAGACCGGGAAAGCCTCTTCAACACTTTGGCCACCATAACGATAACAAGTCGGCAATGGAGTGTACATGTAGCTATTTGTTCAACACACCGCCAAGGCATAGAGGGATTCGTGTAGCTGACATGCGTAAGCAAAGTGGGTCTGCAACAACAGGTCACTGTGAACACGGAAACATCTGCTATCTGAAAACGTTCGCATTTTTCATGACGGATGAAAAATGTCAAAAGTGATCAGACGCGAAACCTAAAACCGTCGTAAATAACGTCAATGAAATCTATCGACAACATTTCCCGGTGCAAATTGGTTTGTGCCCGCAAATCGCAAACTTAAACTAGCATAAACGTCTCCCGGTTACCGTAGATACTTGTGTAATGTAGTCATGGCAACAAGATGGCGCCGCCACTTACCCTGACAGACCATGCCAGTGCCGGTGAATCCAGGGTTGCACATACACATGAAGGAACCCTGAGTGTTGGCGCAGGTCGCTTCAGCAGCACAGCTATCTATTCCAAGATCACATTCATCAAGGTCTGTAGACACGAAGGGGAGAGGGGTGAGGGATGGGAGAGAGAGAGAGACAGACACACACATATAATGCTATTACAACGAGATTTTCACGCGGTGTCTACACACCACGTGAAGCCACGTGCTCCACATGTCGCTAACAACCCACTGCACAACGCACATGACTGGCTTTGGTGCTATTGGAACTCCAAAAAGTAAGGTATTTCCACAGCCCGCATTTTACCGCTTAGGGGCCGTCCGTAAATATCGATGTTTTTTTAGAGACGATATTGGTGCGTCTGGGGGGGGGGGGGGGGGAGGGGGTTTGAGCCATGTGCGTCTTTTCGAGCATCAGAAAAATATCGATGTAAATATCTGAAGTTTCGCCGATCCCTGCACGCGGACGTCTAAATGGCTATACAAGAAATGTGAAACCAGCTTCCGTTCGCGGAGCTAATACTCGTGACACAAGAACAAAATCAAAAATTGGAAGCTGTTCGCCCATGGCGAATTTCAAGAGCAAAAGAATGAGCTATTGATTGTGGAAATCGGCCGAACGATGCCTGCAGGAGACCTTTTTTCAAGACGTAGAGGCAGTGCGAACAAACACGGACGAACTCCACAAGAGTTTCCAAAAATATTGATTCCATGATCTAGATGTACATGTGCGTCTTCTGGGGGGAGGGGGGGGGGGGGTCAAGGGAGAGAAGCACCAATATCGTCTCTAAAAAAACATCGATATTTACGGAGGGCCCCTTATAAGTCGACCCCGGTTATAGGTCAACCCCCGAATCCGGAGGCCTTAATTCTGTTTTTAAAGTTTTCTCCCAACTAAGCACTGCTAACCACTCCCTGCCGCTAACAGTACCACACATCCCCAAATCACATAAACACTCCTCATTGGAGGGGGAAACATCCAAATCCTTGAAAAATGGTAAACAAACTGGCAAAATGCGTACATTTGGTGCACTCGTGCATGCACTGCAGATCATTTTTTTGGAAGATACCGATAATTCCTGGTTGTAAGTCGACGCCTGCCTTTCCTCCTGCTATTCTCAGTCGCAAAAGCTCGACTTATAACCGGACAAATACGGTAGGTTTTGTGTGCCAGCACCCCCCCCCCCCCCCCCAATTTGGTGAATGGACTGTAGTGAAAGACCATAAAATATACATGCAGAACTCTACATTACAATCGATACGACGTGTGGAAACAAGATGGCTACACAAGCTATGCTCCTCAATCCGGCGCAAAACGTGCTCAATACCACGAGGGCCGGGCCAGAAGACCCAGGTAGCAATGGAACGGGGCTGAAATCTGTTGCAAATCAGAGTCTCATTAACTTGTGTACACAAGGTGGCTATGCAGTGTCCCCTATGCAGTTTATTCATTCATCCAGCATCGCACTATCCCGTGGCCACCGGTTCCCTGACACACAACTGTGCTACGGACAAATTTCATGTACAACAAAACAGAAAGGTTGCAGGACAACCACCCACCCCCACACACACAACACACGCTCACACACACACAACACACAGCAATGTTCTGAAGAGAGCAACATACCCACGCAGCCAGTGGTTGGATTACCCGTGAAACCAACAAGACAAGTACAGTTGAAGGAGCCAAACAACTCCGTACAAACTGCATTGGCCCCGCACGGTGGCGGCCACTGCATACACTCAGCAATATCTGCACAACAGAACATGGATGAGAAATGACACACGCACATATACACAAACACACAGACAGACACACACACATACACAAAACAGACAGACAGACACACACAAACAAAACAGACAGACAGACAGACACACACACACAAGCGCGCGCATGCACACACACACACACACACACACACACACACACACACACACACAAGCGCGCGCACGCACACACACAAGCGCGCGCACGCACACACACACACACACACCAAACAGTCAATACAAAAGAGGTACATTGAAGGACTGATTGACAGGCCATGCACATGACCTAGCGGAGCCAAAAGCTCACAAAACAGGGATCCGAGCTATGATGTCCGGTAACTGACATCTGCATCCCAACTGGGTACAAACAGCTACACACACTGAGCAGCACTATGAAATAGACGGACGTCGGACACGCTACCGTCACTACAGTATTCACCGTATCACTCTTTGTCCCTGCTGCCCTGTAAATCAATACAACTTATTCGAGCTAGGAATTTCGAAAATTTCCAAAGATGCCAGCCGAACCCCACCAGTACATTGCACTTCAGGTGGCTGACCGTACCACCCCGAACGACTTTTCGAAGCCCCTGTATATTCTCGTCTAAGCTGGTTTGTTTCGTTATCGAATAACTGCGGAGGCCAGTCATGCCTACATCAGCCATACTAAGTTAGTGCTAACCTTTTTTTTTTTTTTTTTTTTTTTTTTTTTTTTTTTACTAGCAAACACAGCCCTACTAATAATCAGGGGAAGAGGACAACTGAAGTGACACTGGACAACAAGACAAAGGGGAGTAGGGGTCTTCCTATCAGAAGAACACACCTACAGGAACTGATTCTTCAAACAAAGCAATGATTCCCACTACGATACTATTAGATGTAGAAAGGAACATATCATGGATATGAGTTAAGAGAAACTGTCCACCACTGTAACTAGACACTACATGTAGATACAGTCAGAAAGGGCAAAGAACAGTGATGGACAGTTACTGTTCACTCCTATCCACAAGTCCCCTTTCCTTTCTACGTTTATTATTGGCTCGGCATCCGAGTTTCAGACTTCCCCTTCTCTCTGCTGCAGTTGTTACTGAGGCCCGCAGTAACGTCGAGGTCGAGACCACGGGTCGGCATTGTTGCCTTGCCTCACCGGCACAGGTTACTTCTTGGAGCCCCTACTCTTCCCGGTGTTGTGTTGTTCAGCTACTTCTCCCCCCTCTGCATACGAGTAGGTTGCGTCTTTAGTAAGAAATAAAGTAAAAAAGAGAAGAAGAAAAGAAGCTCACCGTCGCACGTAAATCCATTTCCAGTGGTTCCCATCGGACACGGTCCGCAGGTTGCTCCAGTGCCGGGCGCTGGAACGTCTGTGCACGTGACTCCCATGAAGCAACCGCCGCCCTGTAGGCAACCGTCGCGGTCATCTTCACAGACATCGCCCGCGTACGCTGCGTAACAAACACACACAATTGAAAAAAATAAAGATAAAGGTTAATCAAATCCAATGGTGTGTGCCAAAAACACGCCGTGAATTGTGTGGTCCCTGCACCTGCCAACACAGGGATGTTTACTGGTGCAGGGCACAGAGTTGTACGTGAGAGCCAATGTGTGTGTGTGTGTGTGTGTGTGTGTGTGTGTGTGTGTGTGTGTGTGTGTGTGGGTGTGTGTGTATGCGTGTGCACGTGAGTGCGTTTGTGTCCGTGTGTGTGTATGTGAGCGTGTGTGCGTGTGTGTGTGTGTGAGTGTGTGTGTGTGTGTGTGTGTGTGTGTGTGTGCACATGCATGCACGTGTGTGAGTGCATGTGTGTGTGTGTGTATGCGTATGAATGAGTGAGCAGGCAGTAACTCACCTAGACCGCAATCGCACTCCAGTCGGACAAACTGGGTAGCACCACCATCTTGTCCCTCCACCAAAGGAAGGCAGTCCTGTTGGTTCTCGCACGGACACAGGACAACCAGCGGCTGGAACATACTGGTACCGTTTTGGTTGTCTTCAGCGCTGAATACAAAGCTGATCATGGTGTCCGCTGTACGCGGAGTCCAGTACAGCGTGTAGGTGCTGACGTTGCCCTCTGTAATTACACACAACACACACAAACATACAGATAAGCAAATGCACGTAGTCACACATGCCTGCACCCCCCTCCAACACACACACACACACACGCACATACCCCCCCCCCCCCACACACACATACCCCCCCCCCCACACACACACACCAACACATGCAAGCACGCACACAGACAGACAGACACACACACACAAACACACACACACATACACACCATTGGGGCACTACTCCAGAGATGGCACTATTCAAGCGATGGTTGTAATCGTGCGAGTAAGATAACTATTGTGAACACACGATCACCAACTCCCGGCTAACTTATCCTCCCAGGCTTACCCGTCATGGTCAGGGAGAGGTTGAACTCAACAGGTGCCACGGTGTTGTTGGCGAAACCGACCGTCACCGTGACTGGATCAACGTCGGTCACGTTGAACATGTAGCTAACGGTGATGTCAAGCAACGCATCAATACGCATTCCTCCCTGGATGACAGGTGCATTGTTAGCTGGGTGGAAAGCGGGGACACACACAATAGAACACAGCAATGAGAATATGTATGCTTCACATCAGGTACTGCCAATAGGAGAGTGGAGCGCAGCGTGTCATTGAATGACATCATCCCACTGGACATGCCCTGTACGGAATGGCAACTGGCAAGCCAGTCCTCATAACGTCATTCCATATGAAACACCTCAAACGGTGATGTAATCGAGTGACATCATCCTTTATACCCTACACCAATAGTACATAAACCAGAGTGAGTGCAACTGTGCGCATCGGATCTCAAACAGCGCAGTTCGTGCCCTACATCACAATGCCTAGGTCAGCCAAGCCGCGACTTGCGTACAGCTCAAATTTGTGTGTTTCACAGCCCGGAAATCAGCCAAGTGGGCATGATTCTAGACGTCCTGTTGTAGGATTTCGGTGTTTTTGTGTGACTGCGTACGCCGCGTACATTCGCTGTCAAGTAAATTCACCTGGATGTCTGTATCAGAAACTCGAAATCAGCACAAACTGAGTGACCTGCACCACCGCCACTGGTTACGCAACTTTTCACCGCACAATTTCTTACCGCGCCGTCAGAAACGACGTACTCCACGGATTACACTCTCATCAGTTGAGCTTGAGCAGGCTCAGCCCAAAAATATAGCCAGGGATTTCAAGAGTAAACTCCCCTTCGCCCATTGCGGGGGGGGGGGGGGGGGGAGGGGAGGGGGGATTTCTCCCCACCCGCTCGCATTTTTTAATTTTAACCAATGGCTCACCGGCTTGTGACTCCTGTGTCAACAGCATGGTCTCTGTCATCATGGTCTGCACTCCCACGTTGATGTCGTTGGTTGCCGTGGCGTCGAACAGGCAGGCCTGGCTGCCGCCGCAGGCAGCGCGCGCCTCGGCGGAGATGTTCAGCTGATCGGAGAACACGGGGACGTGGCTGGGGTTGGAGAAGTCAGACGGGCCCAAACCCGGCGGGTAGGTGAACAGGGACTCCTGTGACGTGATTTGCCCTGCACAGACACGGAAAACAAACATTTTTTTAATTTTTTATTTCAAAATCGAGAAAATTAACTTTAATTTTTCATTATTGTAACTAGAAAGACAATCACTATCCTGCACAAGATATCTAAGATTACTGCAGTTTCTTACATGCGAAATTGGCAACCATGGAGTACACGGACAATAAGAAAAGCCGTTTCCAAGCTACAGGATGATTCACGTTCCTTGTGGAAACCTCTGCACACAGACCGACAGCCGAGTCATGTGACAGCCGAGTCATGTGACAGCAGGGTCATGTGACAGCAGGGTCATGTGACAGCAGAGAGGCAAGCACAAAAAGACACTCACATGACTGTCCAAACTGAAAGAACACGTCCCGTTCCGAGGCGTCCGGAGGCAGCGTTCCACCTGTTCTATTCAGCAGGTCGTCACTTGGGTCACCGTTGAACACGCCAAGCAGACCCGTCGTTTCTCCCATGAACGATCCCGGCACTACAGGCACACACAGACAACCGCAAATGCACACACGCACAAATGCACACACACGCACAAATGCACACACACATGCACAAATGCACACACGCGCACACGCAAACAACACTTGGACGTTGATGGCAACGACTTGCCCGGCAGAAAAAAAATCATTTTTCTGCCTGGGAATAAGGCCAAATCCGTCACGATCCCTAGCTTTCACTACTACTAAGGCCCCAAGACAATATAAAAACAGCACCAACAAAAAAAGAAAAAGAAAGAGAAGAAAAAAATAAGCTGAATTCGCGGTCACATCACCTGACCTGTGGAGGACCACATCAAGCACAGACATTCGCATCGGCAGGCTGCCACTTTGCCCGGTGAACAAGAAGCCATAACACCAAGAAGCATGCTATTCTTCTCGATTGTATCGTTATAGCAGGCCTTCCCAGTTCCCAGCATTGAGACAGTTGTGGGTCAAAAAAGTTTTCGTTTCTTTTTTTCTAGACCAAGAGTGGTACATATGATCAACAAGGATACACACTTGAGAGGGACGAAAAGCGTTTCTTCTGTAACTCTGAGTTTCACGGTTTTAACCGATCATCAGACAGCAACTTGACTACAATTTTCAGAAGATAAGATTGATATAGGCTGCAAGCTTGGATCATAGCGCGAATGGATGATCCGGGCTGATGGTGTAATTGTAAAAATGCGCGAGTTGGTTGATGGGGTGCAAAAATAGGCGCAAAAAAAAGAATACACTTTAGGCCTAGGCTCATGCGACCACATGTTCTTCTGAGGGAGGCAAGAAGAAGGACGATTCGGTAATTATGAGCAGCACATCACCTGCGACTGCGAGTGGTGAGAAGGTTATGTGACGGCTGATGGTGAGAATTTTGAGAGGTAGTACTTATTTTCATGCCTGCACTTGCTAACTAGCTCCGATCTTTTGTTGATGTTGACACGCTTGTCCGCCTGAAGGATCTCCAGCTTCTCTCTTAGGCACAGAGGACAGCGCTTGGTTATGTTACTGTAACCTGGAGTCTGGGCGATAACTGACCAACCAAGACTGTACTCGCTGTTTTGACGCTTCAGGTTCCAGACACACTTTGATAGTTCTGTGCTCTTCTCATGTCTCTCATGTCTGAATGATGTCAGATGGTTGCCGTATCTCTTCTTGAATTCTGGCTCCGTAAGGCCGATATACTCCTTCTGTCTGTCCTCTCCGGTTATTTGGACGGTTGCCTTGTACACAATAGAGCTGATTTGGCAGTTGCCGTCCATCGGACACTGAGCTTTGTCTCTGCAGTTGCATCGTCTTTCCTTGGGCTGTCCATCGTTGTTTCCACTTTTCCGTTTAACTGAGTTGTTGTGTGACTTGACCATTGCAGACATATTCGGCATACAACTATAGCTTACTTTAACTGTATTCCGGTTGAAGATCTTGTGTAGTCTGGATCCGGCGGGGAAGTGTATTTCGATAAGCCGCAAGAATCTCTGTCCGATGCTCACCACTCGCAGTCGCAGGTGATGTGCTGCTCATAATTACCGAATTGTCCTTCTTCTTGCCTCCCTCAGAAGAACATGTGGTCGCATGAGCCTAGGCCTAAAGTGTATTCTTTTTTTTGCGCCTATTTTTGCACCCCATCAACCAACTCACGCATTTTTACAATTACACCATCAGCCCGGATCATCCATTCGCGCTATGATCCAAGCTTGCAGCCTATATCAATCTTATCTTCTGAAAATTGTAGTCAAGTTGCTGTCTGATGATCGGTTAAAACCGTGAAACTCAGAGTTACAGAAGAAACGCTTTTCGTCCCTCTCAAGTGTGTGTACTAGGCTCTGCACCTTGGTGTATTGAGCACTCTCACGAGCAACCACAACTCCCTCCGAGTTTGATCAACAAGGATATGTACATGTATATGTAGATCATACATACTAGGCTCTGCACCTTGGTGTATTGAGCACTCTCACGAGCAACCACAACTCCCTCCGAGTTTATATTATGTAGATCATAATGTTCCACTCTTGGTCTAAAAAAAAGAACAAGAATATAATTTTTTTTGATTTTGCAATGAGAGTTGCTAACCAATGGCTTGCCCCCCAACTCTTTATAGTTGTGAGTGTGCATGGAGATCTCAACTTACATCTAGGAGAGACGGTGAGACTGGAAATGGCCGTCACCGTCACCATTCCAATACTGAACGCAGCCTGGTTAGCAAAGGTCATGACCACCGTGCGCTCCGCACTGCGCATGAACTGCACGTTGCCGTTGGGCTGTACAGAATCGGAGCAAACGTTCGACAGCACTGAAATCATACAATTGCCCCACTGTATTGTACAGCCTACAGGGGTGTACTGTCGCACACCGTATGCTCACTACCGTATTGACCCGTACCACCTTTTCGCCCCAGGTATCCCGTGAATCAAGCAAAATACACTGATCCGGGCTCCAAATTTCCAAAATGTTCGGCTCAGATCAGCCACCCCGCCCCCACAAACACACACATATACATTTTTAGACTCCGTGTAAACGTACAGACACGTGCACACAGCCGCTCACGCACAGACACATACACATACACATACACACACACGCGCACACGCGCACCCCCCCCCCCCCCCCCCCCCACACACACACACATACACAGAGGGCTGACAGGCTGACTAACCGCAAACGTCTGCGGTATGCCCATGCCGTCGGAAATAGCCAAGTCAAACACTTCACCGGTGATATTGGTGGTGCCGTCAAGGAGAATATCAAGTGTGCCACCTGAAGCTGTGAATTGCACCCGCGACAGGATATCTGCGTGGCGGAAACAGCAAAAAGATCAAATACAGATGTTGGCAAGGTTTGCTCACCAACATCAGAAGGTTGAAAGAGTATGTTAACCAGTAACAGCTAGGTTCCCCAGTGCGTGAAGTGTTTGAAGCAGCAGCCAGGTAGGTTTCCCAGTGCGTGAAGTGTTTGAAGCAGCAGCCAGGTAGGTTTCCCAGTGCGTGAAGTGTTTGAAGCAGCAGCCAGGTAGGTTCCCCAGTGCGTGAAGTGTTTGAAGCAGCAGCCAGGTAGGTTCCCCAGTGCGTGAAGTGTTTGAAGCAGCAGCCAGGCTCATTGGAACGGGTCTGGTTGATAAGGCCCATGCCCGGACCAATGTTTTGCTAACAAACGTGTGTATACTGCTGAGGAGGTCATGTGTTTAAACTGCACATCATACACAGAGTATGAAGGGCTAGAGCATGGCCGGACCAACGTTTTGCTAACAAACGTGTGTATACTGCCGAGGAGGTCACGTGTATACCCGCCACATCATACTTAGAGTATGAAAGGCTAGGAAGGGTATGGCCAGACCAATCAAACTGCTTTCTTCCGGTCCCGATCCAGCAGAAGGCAGGATCCCAGTGTGCGTTGCGTCCGAAGATATACTATAGACCACGAGCAGATGATTTTTCATCAAAGAATAATCTAGTCTTGAGCATCAGACCGCACACAACGTAGTAACGGGGCGTCGGCAGGCATACGCCATTTGTGTGGCCATG